GAGGGACAGGGTCAAAAGTGAGAATAAAATAAATGGGGGGCGGAACAGGATTAAGGGAAATATACTTAGTTTTTCACAACATGACTACTATGGAAGTGTTTTGCATGACTACACATGCATAACCTGTATTGAGTTGCTTGCCTTCTCAATGAGTGTAGGTGGTGAGGGAGGAAGGGAAAAAATCTGGAACCCAAAGTTTTAAAAACAAATGTTAAAAAAATTATTTTCACATGGAACTGGGAAATAAGATACACAGGGGGAGCCAAGATGGCAGAGTAAAAAAGTAGTCGCTCTCACTCTCCCCTATCAACCTCTGAAAAACCAGAAAATATCACCCCGGAAAAAAACCCTGCAACACCTGAACTAAAAGAAAGATGGGGAGCAGCAGTGCAGCAGCCCAGCAAATGGGTCTCCCAGTGCATCAGTAAAAATAGGGGAAGCAGCACTACAAAAGGCCCCTGGTGGATAAGTACCCTGCAGCATTCATCTGAAAAGAGCTGAAGAAAGCAACCTAAAGTCTTCCTAAAGTCTGAGCCTTGCTGATTCCAGCCCAACACCAGGTAAGCTGTCAGAACCTCCAACTGTCAACCAGGAAGAGATCCTGAAGCCCAGGTGGTAGAGCAGGCAAACACCAACACCTGGACGTCCAAGTGCCTCAATGAGGGAGGAGGGAACCGGTGGAAACTAGCTCAGAAAAGCACCAGGTGCCTCGGCACTCCATCGCAAAGGAATCTCCCATTATCAGAAATGAGGGAGTCAGCACTGCAAGGGGCCCCAGGCAGATAAACACCCTGCAGCACCCATCTAAAAGGAGCTGAAGAAAGCTAAAAGAAAGGAAAAGCAGGCAACCGAGAACTGCCTGAAAGTTCCAGACTTGCTGATTCTAGCCCAACATGAGGTAACCTGCCAAAACCCTACAGCCTCCAATTGCCAACATAAGAGGCCCCAGCACACAAAGCCAGTGACCAAGACCTAGGCTCCCAACACAAGAAGCTTGGGTCAGTGTCCTCTGTTCCCCAGCAGGAGAGCTCAATCTCTTTAAAGGCCAGGGAATAAAGAAACCATGAGTAAAAAGAAATGTACCATAGATTCATATTATGAGAAGAGTGGAGATCAAGACAGAAATTCTGAAGAGGACAACATTGTCAACAAACCCACATCTGCAACATCAAAAGGGAATATGAACTGGTCTGAAGCCCAAAAAGCCTTCTTAGAAGAGCTCAAGAAGGATTTTAAAAGTCTAATGAGAGAGGTAGAAGAGTCCTTAAAAAATATAATTGGCCAACTGGAAAAAAAGTACACTGAAGAAAACAAGTCCCTAAAAAATACAATTGGCAAACTGGAAAAAAAGTACACTGAAGAAAACAAATCCCTTAAAAATACAATTGGCCAACTGAAGAAGGAAGTACAAAAACTAACAGAAGACAACAATCTGTTAAAAACTAGAATTGGACAAATGGAAACTAATGACTCTATGAGAGAGCAAGAATCAGTCAAACAGAAACAAAAAAATGAAAAAGTGGCTGAAAACTTAAAATACCTCATTGGTAAAACAACTGACCTGGAAAACTGATCCAGGAGAGACAATTTAAAAATCACTGGACTACCTGAAAATCATGATGAAAAAAAGAGCCTGGACAGTATCTTTCAGGAGATCATAAAGGAAAACTGCCCTGAAGTCCTAGAACCAGAAGGTAAAATAACCATACACCGCTCACCACCTGAAAGAGATCCCAAATTGACAACACCAAGGAACATAATAGCAAAATTCCAAAATGACCAGATGAAAGAGAAGGTGCTGCAAACAGCCAGAAAGAAATAATTTAAACAACATGGAACTAGTGTCAGAATTACACAGGACCTTGCAGCTGCTACATTAAAAGACCGCAGGGCATGGAACATGATATTCCATAAGGCAAAAGAGCTTGGATTGCAGCCAAGGATCAACTACCCTGCAAAAATGAGCATGACTTTTCAAGGGAAAGGATATATATTCAACGAAATACGGGACTTCGAAACCTTCCTCATAAAAAGACCAGAGCTCAACAAAAAATTTGATCTTCAAGTCCAAGATTCAAGAAGGACAGAAAAAGGACAGAAAGATACAAAATGTTGTTAATAAGGGTAGACTGTTTACATCCCTACAAAGGAAAATGACACTTGAGAACTGTACTGCTATTACACCATGTTAAAGGAGTATACATAAAGGGGGTGGATGTTAGTTGACTTTGATGTAACGATAAAAAAAAATCTAATCAAGTGCATTAAATGGATCCAAGTTAAGTAAATTAGTCTGATCTTAGAAAATGTACTGAGAAAGGAGGAGGCATTACATTACAGGAAAAGACAGAAAGTCCTATTACAGCAGAGGGAAAGAAGGGAGGGGGGTGAGCATTTTTTGAACCTTGTTCTCATCAGATTTGGCTCAAGAAGGGAACAACATAATCAGTTAAGTATGGAAATCTAACTTGCCCTATGGGCAGTAGGAGGGAAAAGGCGAAGAAAAGGGGGGGAAGAAGCAGTGGGGTTGAAGGGGAAGAGGGGGGAGGGGGAAAATAGAAGGGAGGAGAGACTGAAGGAGAGGGTGGTCAAAAGCAAAGTACTGGTGGGGGGGGAGGGAGACAGGAGAAAGAAAAGCATAAAAGGGGAAAAAAGGATGGAGAAAAAGACACAGATAGTAATCATAACTGTGCAAGTTGAATCGCACTATCTTTTTTTTTCTCTTCTGTTGAGTTTTCTTTCCTCTTTCTGATGGTTCCTCCTACTGGTTTTAATTTTTACTTACAACTACACTAATGTGAAAATATGTTTAATAGAAATGTAAATGTATAACCTATATCACATTGTGCACCATTTTGGGGAGGGAAGTGGGGAGGAATGGGGAGAAAAATTTTAAACTCAAAAGCATATGGAAGTGATTGTTGATAAATCAAAATAAATTAATAAAATATGCAAAGAAAAAGAGAAAGAAATAAGATATACAGGAAATGGGGTATAGAAATCTATCCTATCCTACAGGAAAACTGAAGGGGAAGAGGATAAAAGAAGGGGAGGAGAGATAGAAGGGAAGGCAGATTAAGGAAAAGGGTATTCAGAATGCATGCCATCTTGGGTTGGTGGAGGGATGAGATGGGGAGAAAATCTGGAATTCAAAATCTTGAGGAAGTAATGTTGAAAACTAAAAATAAATTAATAAAAAAAAATGATGAGAGAAACTAGGCAAGAAGGAGTACCAGATCTCAAATTATACTAAAAAGCAGTAATCATTAAAACTATTTGATACTGGTTAAAAAACAGGAAAACTGATCAGTGGTACAGATTACCAACACAAGATCCAGAAGCCAGGGAACATAACCTAAGGTTCAAAAAACCCTAAGATTCCATCTACTAGGGGAAAGACTGCCAGGAAAACCAGAAAGCAGTCTGACAGAAATCAGGTTTGGACTAATATCTCACAGAGTGAGAATGAGTGAGTGAGTGAATGAGAGAGAGACAGAGAGAGAGAGAGAGAGAGAGAGAGAGAGAGAGAGAGAGAGAGAGAGAGAGAGAGAGAGAGAGAGTGTGTGTGTGAGACCCCTAAGCTCCAAACAGATAAACATGACCTGTAAATGTAAAAAGTCACACCATAAACAAATTAGAGGAGTAAAAGAGGAGTTCCTTTCACAACTATGGATTAAAGAATTTTTGCCTAATCAAGGGATTAAAAGGATCATAGGAGATAAAATGGTCACTCTTGATGACATAAAATTGGAAAGCTTTTGAACAAACAAAATCTATGGAGTTAAAGTTAGAAAGTTAAAAGTTAAATGGGGAAAAAAGCTTTGCATCAAGTAAAAAAAGTCTGATATCCAAAATACATAGGGAAGGACTCACTATTTTACAAAAACTGTTGTGTAAACAGGAAAGAGGTTTGGCTGGGACCTAAGTGAACATCAATAATATTCATCTTAGAAAATCTTACACAAATGACCAATTCCAAAGGGCTCATGATGAAACACAGCCACCTCTAGAAAGAAAAGTGACAGACTTAAAAAGCACAAATCAAAACATATATTCTTTCCTTTCTTCCTTCTCTCTCTTTTTTTTATATAGTTAATGTGGGAATTTGTTTTGCATAACTGTATATATTTGCAATGGTGTTTGTTTTTCTTGCCTTCTCAAGGGGAGAGGTGAAGAGGAAGACGAGAATTAAGAACTGAAAAAAATGAATTAAAACATTTTTAATTTAAAAAAAGGTACAGTATTATTGTTAGTGGGGCTGTAAGTTAGTCAAATCATTCTGAATAGTAATTTGCAATCATAAGAAAGTGATAAAATGTTCATACTCTACCCAAAGCATACTAGTCAGATACTCCAAGTAGTTTGTTAATAAAAAGTAAGATCCTGTATACACTGAAATATTTGTGACAGTACTTTCTTTGTAGTAGCAAAGAATTGCAAACAAGACAGATTCCCATGGATTGGAGAATGGCTGAAAAAGTGGTTATTTAAATTAATGGTTACTTCTATTATAAGAAATGTTGAATGTGATGAACACAGAAGTATGGGACAACTGACATAAACTGATGTGAAATAAAATGAACCAAGAAAACAAGATACACAATGTAAATGGAAGGAACAACAAAATCAAAATGGAATGCTGAAAAATCTTATGATCAAGTCCGGTCTCAAATTAGCAACAAAAGGGCAGTTCCCACTCTTCACTGAAACGCTAGGGGAAAGGTAAAAAGAGGCAGACAGCTCTGAGAAGGAATACCATTGTGGTTAGTTTTGCTGAATTGTTTTTTACTCTTTTATAATCTTTCTTATAAGGGACAGAATTTTTTTTTCAAATCACCAACTGCTCTCATCCAATTTTTAAAGAAGTTAGTATAAAATAAAAATTTATAGCATTTACTTGCTGTCCAAAAGGAAGAAATAGCAGCAATTCTCATAATGTCTGCCAACCCACAGAAAAAGAAAAATATTAACAATAAAGATTTTGCTTTTTGTTTTCTTACCTTGTAAGATTTTCTAATAAATTTCCTGAAGTATGGTTTAATAAATCTCATAGGCTTTTGGAATCCACCCACATGGACATTCTGAAATTTTGAAAAATTGGAGTTCTGATCATTCCTGATCAAATGAAAGAAAGAAAAAATGTTTAACTTATTTCAAAACAATTTTACTCTTATGTCAACATAATCTTATCCCAAACCAAAAGTAGGCTGTGTTAAAGATGCTCATGATTTAATATAGTAATACCTTGCTTCTCTGACATAACAGCAGGTGCTTAATAAATGTGACCAATGAATTAAAGAAAGTGAATTTTTCAGAAATTAAAATTTACTATTTCAAATACCAAGTTCTTAAACATTAGTCATTTTTGATGAAAATCTTCCTAAAATATTTCTAAAACTTCCCTAACCTCTCCATACACTGAACAAAAATTTAACCGCCTTTTTTGAGGACTCAGTTATTATCCTTATGGATATAAACTATTGCACTTCGCTAAAACAGCGATTGAAAGCTCTCTCAGAGACTGCTGAGGGTTGTTTACAACTAAATTAAATGTCTAAAGACAGCTGAGAGGTTTTTTTTCTCTTTCCTCACCATCAGGCTGTCAAGTATTGCTTCAGAGAGTCAGTAGGATTGCAACTACTAGCAGGCCCCCATCTACTCACACCAATTAGGGTTTTTTGTCAAATCAGAGTAAATAAGCTTGGTGTGAGAACATGAAGGGTTCTGAGGAAAACACATGAGTGTGTCGATTTTCCTATCTTTTTGGGGTGCTGAAAGCCCTTTTACTTACTTTTTGGTTCTCCATGGTTCTACACAGCTGAAGTTGCAAGAAAAATGACCCCAGGATAAATGTAAGTATTGCTATAATTGGTAATAATATGTCAAATTGGGATTGGACACAAACTTTCAGTTTGATAGTTCCTCTACTGATCCAAGTAGGAAATGGCTGGTGGTAGTATTTAGAGGAAATATAACCATAGTAAAAATTATTAAAATGATGAGTCAAATCCTACAGGGTTACTATACTACCTTAAACATGATTTAAATTATTCCACTTATATTTTTAATACCAAAGTAAATCATAAAATTAGCAAATTTCCCACAGTCTTAAAATATAAGAACTAAAACTCAAACTTTTTAAAATCATGTATTATAAACAATAGTGAACTCCCTCATACTTTTAAATTCACTATTAAGCTTGCAAATCTTAATCTTAGCAGATTATGTCCCGTACCCCAAATTTTCATCCTACACAAAATCCATGTAGTCCAATTGAGAGTTTAGCAATAGAAACAAATAATCTCCATTTTTAAAAATACTGAAACTTCTATATCACATACACAAAACTTCACATTTAAAAATTATAATTTTTATTCATTTTACTTAAGGATGAAATTCACTTTTCACAATATTTCAAATTAAAATTTACGAGGGTTCCAAATACCAAATGAGAGTTCTTCTTTATTAGAAAAACATAAAAACATAAGAATTTATTAAGCATCTATTATGTGTCAGGCACTATACTAAGCACCTCATCTCATTCAATCATAACAACTTTTATAAGGTAGGTGCTTATTATGATTCCCATTTTACAACTTGGGAAACTGTGGCAAAGGCTGAATGATTTGCCCAGGGTCACACAACTAGCAAACGACTTCCCGACTCGAAGGCCAGTGCAACACTAGCTGCATCTAATTCTTAAGACTGTTAAAACTTACTGCATCTTTACAACTCATTTCTCTATTTTTGCCAGTGGACGGCTCCAAGGAACTGTGGAAGAGAAGCTGGAAGGTGCCTTTACAGCATCATTAAAGATTAAAGTTATATCCCAATGTTTCTAAACTGCCTTAATAATGTTATGGATCTAACACTGATGAATATATCTAAATCATTCTTGAACCCATTTATACTTATAGTGAATGCATGCTCTTGATACATTCTCTGATTATGAAATGGAAATCAGGTATGTTATAGAATATACTGGGCTATTACTACAGTGTATCTGTGGGTTGCACAGACTTTGGATATTGATGTTTTACCATTAATGGGATCACAGAGCCTAAGGATGTTTGTCCTAATGGAAAGAAAATCATTCAGATGAAAACTGTTCATAGACATTGAGACCACAATTTGTTCAAGAAAAGTTATGTTTTGGGGTTCTAGAGGGCTGAGAAAAGTACTTTCTCCTCAAAATGTAAGGCAAGAAAGGAAGCATAAAGATGAGAGTAAGATTAGAAAAAAAAAATGAATGAGAAGATGAACTGATGAGCCAGAGGAGAGAACAAAGATGTAAGGCCGAGGAACGGACTGGGCACAGACTGCCCTAAATGGCAGCTGGTGAGCTCCACCTCCTCCTCCCAACAGCTCTTCTTTTCCCTGCTTTCCCAGGGCACAGAGGTGATGTGCTGTAAGCCACAATGCAGCCCTCTGCATATCATTAAAATGTCTATCTACGACTTTTATTACTTAGTACTGATCAGTCATTAGCAGAGATTTTGTTTGATAAGTTTTACATAATGTGTAAGTGGTGATGGTGGTGAGATGACCTCACCTAGAAGGGGAAGAGCACCTGCTGCCCAGAACACATTCTGCTTCCCAAGCCAACTTTGGTCTTTTTGGGGAGAGGTGGATGGTGGCAGGCAGTGCATACTTCTAGGATTGTCCTGACCCACACCCCATTCCCCACCTAGGGCTTTCTTCAAAAGAAGAAGTTATCCCTGCCTTCTGGCAGGGCTTTTCTACCTCTGCCCAATGCGAGGTGGGTTTTCTTTGCTCTATCAGGACACTGAACCTTAAAGAGGACCTTGGAGAATATAATCTCATACCTCATAATAAACTCTGTAACAATTAATGTTTTACCTGGACTCACTGTTAAATGGTTAGCATACCTTAATCCTCTTATACTCTAAGCATCCCATTGATAAACCCCTAGGGGCTGATGCACAAACCTTATTCCCCTTTATAGAATAGTGACCTCCTCACGTCCACAGACCTCAACCCTATACTCCAGTGTCTCACTCTAGATCTGCCTTCCCCTTGAACTGTAAGTTACAAAATGCCTACTCTCTAATAAGCTAACTTTTTGTCTTAAACTTCTTTCTCATTTCTTCCATCTTCTGGCCCTCACTGATACATAGCTTCTCAACAACTGCTTCCCTCTTGAACCTTTCTAGCACTAGCTATACTTTGTTTTATACTCAACTGTATTATCTTATTTGATCCTGACAACAACCTGGGTAAGGTAGGTGCTATTATGATTTCCATCACTTAATATGGTAGGGGAGTTGGACTATTTCCTTGCTTAATTGAGCACCTTCATTAAACAACCTCTTCTCTCCAATATTATTTGAATTTATCATGCGATTCAGTTTCTGGTTTCTATTATTTATCAACCCTATCCCTAGGACATTCTCTTTCTTTCATCCACAAGCTCAGTGCCCACCTCAATCTTTCCTTCCATTCCATTTCCTACCCTGATGCTAGGGGATTTGAATATAGATACTGGTACTCCTTCAAGTATCCCAGCTTCCCAGTTTCCCAATCTAGTCAGTTTTTGTGACCTATTTCTCAACTATTCAAGAACACAAAGAAATGTCCTTAACTTTGCCATCATCCACAAATGCTTCACTTCCTAGTTCTTAAACGCTAAAATTCCTTTATCTGATCATAATCTTTTATCATTCCATCTTTCCTCATGCCTTATGAATCCTCATCCTGATCTTCAATCCTCACTATAACCTCCTTCTCTCAGCTCTTTCCTACACTCTCACCCCTAAACACTGCCTACTTTGTTCTGTCATCCCTATCTCAATCTCTTAGTAAACCCACTCAACTCTTCACTATGCTTCACCCATTTCACCCCTGTATCTCTTGCCTTCTTGTCCTATCAGTGACCATACCATTACTAAGCCCTAATCCTAAATTACTCCACCAGCCTCTTATGCTCTTATTCATATCTTGCTAAATGGGGCTGAAAGAAATCATGAAACTGTACAGAATAAGCTTACTCTAAATGTATGCTATGTAATCTCAACTGTGTCCTCAATGCTTCAAGGCAAAGAATTCCATTTCTCCCTGATTATTAAAATATCTAGTCTTAATCTCTCTCCTAAACTACAGTAATGCATCTTCCAACTGCTTCTTAGACATCTAACTCGTGTATAAAAGAGAATTCATTTTCTTTCTCCCAGAAGTCTTCCCCATCTGAACTATCCTTTTAATATGAAGGGAATTACCATCCTCTCCCACTCAGGATCATAATCTAGGTGTCATTATCAATTCTTCATTCTCATTCAACCCACAAATCCAATCTGTTACCAAATCTTCTCATCTTTACCTTCACACCATCTCTCATTCACATTCCCTCTTCTATAATCACACTGCCAGAAATCCAGTGCAGGTCTTCCACCACCTCCTGCCTACACTACTGCAGTAGAGCTGCCAACATTATTTTTCTATAATATAGGTCCTGATGATGCCACCCCTCTCAATGATTACTTACTACTGTTAAGACCAAATATCAACGCCTCTGGCATTAAAAGCTATTTGTAACCTGGACCCTTTTGCTCCTTCTAGCCTTCCTACGTTTTATTTCCCTCCACACACAATGACCACACTGGACCACTTGCGTTTCCTTGTATGTGGTGCTGTCTCTGTGTGTGTCTTTGCACTGGCCGTCTCACAAGCTTGGAACATTCTTGGTTTCTTGGCTCCCCTGGCTTCCTTCAAGGTTCAAACAAAAAGCTACTTTTTGTAGAAGGCCTTTCCAGTTCTGTTCTAACAACTTCCTAATACACATTTCAAACCAGATGTCGCAGAGACATCACAAACTTAACAGGTCCAAAAGAGAGCTCATTACCTTTCCCCAAAAACCACACCTCTTCCATACTTCCCCTATTTCTGTAAAGTATACCACTGTCTAGTCCCCCACTTTCCCTCACTCATATAACCAGTTGCCAAATACTGCTGTTTCTGTCTCCACTATCCTTCTCAGATCCTACCCCTTTGGTCTACACTCTGACAAGCCACAATTTTAGTTTAGGCTTTCATTACCCTTCACGTAGATAATTACAACAGTCACCTAATCAGTCTCTCTGAATGGTCTCAAATCCCTCCCCAGAGATTGGTGGATCTATGTTACTTTCTCTATTCAATAAACAGTGTCTCCCTATTGTTTTTAAGATAAAATATAAACTCTTCTGTTGAGCTTTTAAAATCCTTCACAACTTGGCCATGACCTCTCTCTGGTCTCAGTGCTGTTTACTCCCCCTTCCATCCCACTCCTTACACATGACCTTCCATCCCCATCTTTGTCCCTTTGCACTGGCTGTCACATGCCTTCCCACCCCCATGCTTCTCTGCACACACTCAGCCTGATTTCCTCCTTGTAGAACCTTTCTTTTTTCAAGGTAAAGTTAAGTTAAAGCACCTTGCACATGAATTCTTCCCTGATCCCTCCAACTGCTAATGCCCTTCCTTACTCATCACTTTGGTTTTTCCTTTATAATTATTCTGTAAATACATAAACACACATATATGTATACACCTATAGACACACACACACACACACACACACACACACACACACACACTCTTCTCTTATAGAATTTAAGATCCTTGAGAGTAGAAACTTTCATTCTTTGTCTTTTATTTCTACCAGCACCTAGCACAGTACCTGGCATATAATGGGCATTTAATAAATACTTGCTGATTGAGAGTACATGAAGTGCTCCCTACCCATGGTCTTCTACGCACATAATAAAAGAAGGAGTTGTATTTTCCCCTCTCTTCTTCTGGGCTAATGTTGGTTTTTATAATTATCCAGCATTCAACTTCTTTTCTGTTTCTTCTTTTCATTTACATTATTGTGGTCATCACCTACATTACTTTCTTGGCTCTGTTTAATTTGCATCAGTTCCAAAAGTCTTATCATGGTTTTCTAATTTCTTAGTATCCATTGTTTCTTATGATGTACCAATTCCACTGCACTCTTGTACCACAATTTGTCTAGCCATTTTCCCATCAATGTACATCCACCCTACTTCCAAGTATGTGCTACCTACTCTAAATATCGGTGCACATATGATAACTTTCTAACTTCCTTGATAAATATGACTAGGAAAGGAATCTCTAAGTCACAGAGAAATTCATTAATTTCTTAGTTATTCTAAATTGTGAAACAGCCTCACCATTCTGAAAGGCAGAGGTAGTACTTGCTTTTAATCTATAAAGGATAAAAATGTGAATTTTGTACTCAGGCAAATATAGAGGACACAATCATTTCTTAAAAATCCATCACATGATACAGTACAATATATTAACATTAGATTTTCTATCACCTAAAGGGAAAATTCTATATGATCTGTCCAAACATTAAACTCATTGCTTCTGGTTTCCGCTAGTAGTAAAGAAGTTGAGTCATAAGACCTGACAAGGTCCAGTGTTTTCTGTATAATTCTGAAAGTCAATAACAAACACTCTTCCATGCTTGAACATTCAATCTGTATTTTCAAAAATTAATTGATGCTTTTTGCTTACATCAGTCATTTACGACTATCCACCTTCTCCCAGTGAGCCCTCCTTTGTAACAAAGGAAAAACAATTGAGCAAAAGTAATCAACACATTGACTTTCTTATCTGACAACACAGACAACATTCTCTATCCTATTTCATCTCCAATGAAAGAGGGGAGTCACATTTCTTATCTTACCAGAGCCAAACCAAGTCATTATATAATTACATGTAATTAGCTTTCCTTTTATTTTTATAGTCATTGTACACAGTGTTTTCTTGATTCTGCCTATTTCACTTTGAATTTATACAAAGTCCTTTGATGTTATTTCTGATTTCCTCCTATTTATGACTTATGAGGTGATGATACTCAATTACACAAAGATACCACCATTTGTTGAGCCCTCCCTCCAATTGATGGGTACCTCTTTTGTTTCCACTCTTTTGCTACTATACAAAATACTGCAATACCTATTTTGGTACATATGGGACCTTTCAGTTCTTGACTTTCAAGGAAAATATGCCTAGTAAAAAAATCTCCGAATCATAAGGACTAGATATGACCTCTAAGACAGGCAAGCAACAAGTATTTATTAAGCGACTAGGATACAAATATAAGCAAAAACAAAGTCAGTCCTTGCCTTCAAGAAGCTTACATTCCAATGGAGGGGAAGAATCACAGAAAAAGGAGCTTTAAAAAAGGTAGTAGGGTGTGGGAGAATGGGGGTACAGAACAAGTCCAGAGATTCAGAAGCATAGCCAGGAAGAGAAAGAAACATTGCTGACATGGTCCCCTCTACAAAATGAGAGAAACTCACCAATGGAAGAAAGGGGGTAGAGTGATAGGAGATGTTCCAGGATGAAAAGGCCCCAAGCAGAGGAACTTTTCCCAGAATAGAGGCATATTAAGGTTCCTTTGCAGACCTTATGGCATTAGTCACATTTTTGCAAAATTCCAGATTGTTTTCTAAATAGGTAAGAACAATTCAGAGCTGACCAATAGTATACTACTGCGCCTATCTTGCCACAGACTCTCCAACATTGATTATTTGTCCTTTGACATGGTTGGCCATTTGCTATACATAAAGCATATGTTAGAACTGTTTGAATTTGCATTTCTTAATAGTGAGTTGGAACAAACTTTTATCCACCCACTTTCTTAAAACTGTTACTCCATTCAATCCAGTAAGAGAAGTAGGAAGAGTAAAGGACATAAAAGACAGCACACATAATGGAAAGAACTCCTGAACTGGAATTAGGAGAGAGATGGCTCTGAATCCTGTTTCTGACACTTACTAGCTATATAATCATAGGCAAGTTATTTAACTTATGTGAGGTTAGTTTCTTCAGCTCCACGATGGGCAGAACACTACCTGTAGTACCCACATTACAGAATTATTCTGAAGGTCACAAGAGGCAATGTATGTAAAACTTTTTACAATCCTTAAAGTACAATAAAAATATTAGCTATTATAATTAAAAACTTTCTTGATTACAGAGTGCTAGGCATCGAGAAAATATAAAAATTAATAAAAGACAGTCTCTATCTTTAAAATGTTAACAATCCAGTAGGTAAATAGACAAGCACATAAGTATAACAAGTATTATGAAAGATCCAAGAGATCACTCCCAGCTGGGGAGAAGAGCAGAAGCTTACTAGAGAAGGTAGGGTGGGAGTGCAGACTTGAAGAATTACAGAACTTTACAAACTTGTATTATAAAACAACTTAACTGTAAAGCATTTCAAGTTCACATTCCCAAAATACTGAAAATTATCACCACAAAAATCCTCATTCTGAACAAATATCAACATGAGTAAATAGTAAAATCTGTTTTTTCATCTAAAAGAAAACTAATTACCTTCGTATACCTCCGCCTATGTGAAAAATCCGTTCATCTACATTCTGTAATCGTTCTTTTCTCCTTCTCTCAATGTCATGTCGGAGATCATTGGGATCTTCTATTACTCTGAGCAAGGCCTGAGAAATGATGATTATGAATTATGAATACAGTCCATTCTATTACTATTTCTTTTGGAAAGGAAGCCACATTTCACACCTAAAGTGCTTTGTAAAAGCTTATTTTAAAATAATTCATCCAATAAAATTAAACCATTACCTAAAAGATTAAGCATTAATTTAATAATTTCATGAATTCAAAATTTTGTTTAGATTCCCTTCAGAAATGTGGCAATAACTAAGCTATCTACTTCCTTATTCTCAGAAAACTAGAAAAGCTGTTGGCCCCCTCCCCACCACCCAAATTTAATTCACTGCTCTTTTCTACAAGGAGAAAAATATATAGCAAAAATCTTTTCACTCCCTGACTAGCAAAGTTTTTTTTTTAATGTTTAACTTAAGTTCTGTGTATTTGGTTTTTAAATTACAAACATTACAGATCACTCCCATTTTGTGAGAGGTCTTGTGACAAGATCAAATCTTTAAGTAAAACTAACAGCAAGTTGACTTCATCTTTCATATCTGTAGCATCCACATATACACTTCTCTACTTAAAAAAAATTAACAGAAATCTATTTTCTCTCCCTTTCACACTCTAACCCACTGGGGGAAAAAATCCTCTTAACAATATGATGTTAAACCAAATTCCCTTGACAGTGTTAAACATATTTATATACATACGTTTCATTCTGTACCTTAATACATCAACTCTGTGTTATGGATAGTAGGTTTCATCATCAGTAGTCTAGAATCATAAATGGTCTTTGTAATGATCACTGATCTTACAAGTTTCTTATTTTCTCCAGTGTTGTTGTTGTTATATTTATATGTATATATATATATATATATATAGATATAGATATAGATATATATAGATATATATTGTTCTGGTTCTGTTCAATTCATTCTTCAGTTTATAAAATTCCTCAAAATTATTCATTCTTCTAATACTGTTACAATATAAATCTGGTTCTGCTATTTCACTCTTTATCAGTTCATATAAGTCTTTTGATATCTTTGAAGTTATCTATTTCCTCATTTCATACAATATAATGGTACTCACATCCATATACAACATTTAGTCATTCCTTCACTGATGGGACATCCACTTAAGTTTCCAGTTTTTTGCAATAACAAAAAGGGCTAGTATAAATATTTATGCATATAAAGGACCTTTTTTTCTTTCTTTGATCTTTTTTCGGCATAGGCCTAATAGTGTTAAAGCTGGGTCAAAGAGAATGCGTTATTTAATAATGTTTGGTGTGTAATTCCAAATTGTTTTCCCAAATAAGTGTACCTATTCATAGGTCCAACAAAAGCGCATCCATCTGCCCATTTTCCCACTAATAGCTAACAGCCTTTCCAGCTATTAGCATTTTCCTTTTTTGTCATCTCTGGCACTAGGAAATCTGAGGCAGACTCTCAGAACTGCTTTAATTTCCATTTCTCTAATTAGTAGTGATTTGGGGCATTTTTTCATATGGTTATAGACAACCCGGATTTCTTCTCTCTGTTCAAATCCATAAGATCATTTGTCAGTTGGGGAGTGGCTCTTTTTCCATATAAATTTGAATCAGTTCCTCATGTGTCTTAGAATGAGATCTTTTTCAGAGAAAACTGCTGCAAAGATTTTTCCCTAATTGTTCCCTTTTTCATCTTAGCTTTTTCAGATCTGTATGTGTAAAAACAGTTTTCAATCTGATATAATCAAAATTATCCATTTAATCTTCAGTGACCATCTATTCTTTTGTTTGTTCATGAACTTTTCTCTTTTTTATAGATCTGATAGGTAAAATCACTTTCTCCAACAGCAAAGATTCTGTATTACATAAAATATGGACATGTAGACTAAGAAATTAATTTTCATACGCAACATTTTGCTAGTTTATACTTCACTGTATTTTTCTTAAATTACACAGTAAATAATAAAAAGAAATTTAACTCCATTTTAAATATAATTTCACATATAATTTTTAAAAAATTACCAAAGCCATTTTACCTGTCTGAAGTTCAAAACTTATATACTCTTAGAATTATATGGTTCTGATTTTATACATCATCTGCAATATTGTATGTTCCCAAAGAATACTCATGTGATGAAATATTCTTTTTGTCTATTATCATCTTATTATATTCCATATGCCTGTGCTTTATTGAAGCACACTTTAAACTGAAGTAATAGAATGGTCATAATCAGCCTAACTCTATAAACAACCTAAAATGGCATGCATATTTGCTTTTTGCTAGCATTTGTGGTAACTAGCCAATAATGAATATATGAAGTCTATATAAATGTAAAAATAGGCCGAGAAAAAAATGAATCTTTAAATAAAATTTAACATAATACAAGCACTTCAGTTTCAAATTCTTTTGTTCTTCTGTTATGTTTTGCTTTAAGTGGTCAAAAAGTTGGCTTTTTAAGGCACAGGAAAATGTTTAAGCCTATGTCTAATGTGAATTGACAAGACTGCATTATACTGAAAAAACAATAACTTGGGGTAAAAGAACATTAAACTGACAACCATAAAAGGTTCAGGAGTCAAAAAGGTTAATTTTGATTCTCATGTAAAACAACAGGAATTTAGAATAAAAAAAGTAATAGTTGTAATATGCAGACTGATTAAGACACTACCTTTCACCTCCCCAGTCCTCCAAGGACAAAAGAGGTGGGTGTTTGGACAATGGTGGAAATAGCTAGAATGAATGAATGTGTAAATTCAATCCTAACAACAAAAGAACATCACTCATCCCTATTAACCTTATCTGGACCATACATGACTGGTGAGTACACATGAGAAAAAGAAAGGGAGGAAGGCATTTTTAAGTGGTTCCAGCTCCTTTTGTCTTCCTAGCCAGTCTAACCACCTCAAGCAGCCAGAACCAACCTGCCAGTTCTGGACATAAACTGGTTTCCTGGGACTATCACTCATGCTGCTTTATCTCCTGGATCCAGAACACTTAAGACTTTGAGGGAGGCTGTATACATGCATACTTATCCCATTCTGAATTTTTAACCACATAGCAATCATATACATAATTCTCATAGTTAGATCAAGTGAGTGTGAGGTACGTCAAAATCTCCAAATCAATAGAACTATATCAGACTACATCAATAATAAAATACTATTATTTTTCCATAATTAAGAATAATATCTACCTACCTGTCCTGGTTCACACTTCACAGTCCGTTCATTCTGAAGTTCTGCTAAAGACATATCAATTCTTCTGAAACAAAGATATGACAATAATTAATAACTGTAAATCATACAATGAAACACTTTTATAATGCTATCTGACCAAATTTAGAATAAAGTTGGTCTATTTCAGATCCCATCTGAGGAAATTTAGGTCACTAAAGTATACCAGGACTTTGCTATGAGACTGTTTTCATGGCATGGCAGTCCTTTAGCAGGGACCTTCAGGACAGCAGTACAGTGAGGCAATGATGCACTCATTTATTAATCCTTAGTCAACAAATCATATTAATAACTAATCACAGTTTAAATCTCAATTTTTGTGGTGATTCTAGTAGTGTTTCAACTCTAAAGTAACTTGGCCACATTGGATATTTGATTTGGCAAGTGATATTAGACACAGACTACCTAAAGCACTATGACTTGAACTATATTCTGAATTCCTCACTAATGACTTAAGCAGGCAAATAATACAGAGAAATAAATAGAGAAGGAAGGTCTTCTGAAGTTAACTGCAAATTCTTTGATACCAGACCAACAGTTTCAAAAACAAAACAATACAAAACATCATTCCACCTGAATAAATTATATTCTGCTTCAGAAGAAGCCAATGAGATTATTGATGCATAGTGGATATCCTTTCAAACTAGCTTATAACTAACAATATAGTCTGCCTGCTTCTTTAGCCCTGGGACCCCATTCTAATAAAAGGATAAGAGAGAGGGCCAGAGTCAGCATGAAGCAGCAAATGCCAAAGGACTTGCCACACGAACAATGGAATAAGGATATAAGTTTTCAAACATCCAGTGGCCAAAACTCTACACTACTCTCTCCCCTAGCTTCAAAAGGGCTACTTTAGTCTGGCCAATGACAAAATGTCATCTCAATTTCCTAGCACCAATGAATTCTCATAATTCTCACACAAGAAGGCACATAAAGCTATGTAGTTCTATTCCTCTCCTGTCAAAGGAAACATAAACGAAGTATAGAGACCCAGAGTGAATAACAAAAACGGGGAAGATACTCAGCAGCACTTTCTCCTGGAGTTTTTTTTTTTGCATTTATTCCCATGAGTTAAATGGGAATAGTAATATTAAGTTATTTACCTGTGAATTTCTGGATCTGAATTCATTTTTATTTCATTTATATCAGGAACTTGTGTATCTTGCATTTTTGAGAAACGTTCATGTAGAGTAAGATCAGAAGATGGAAAATAATTTGCTGGAAAAAGATAAGTAGTTTTATCTTACTATACAACTGACTGCACTTAAAAGATTAAATATAAACATATAAAAATAGGGCTCTGCAAATGACAAAAAGGAATATCTGTTTCTTCTTGTAATTATGCAATCTAAAACCTATCATAGAACACAGTAAGTGCTTAATAACTGCGTGAGGAGTACTTCACAAATAAACTGGCAGTGTTGATGTGCTACCTACATTCCAATCCAAACAAAATAAAACATCCCCTTGTCATTATCCCAAGGATTTGTAATACATATATACTACTATCATAGATGCCTAAAGACTACCCAAAGAATAGAGGGTGTAGTTGTCCCAAGATAATCTGATCGCTTTCCTTTGACATAAAAGCTACCCAAATCTAGGAGATAAAGAGACAAACCTAACTTTCTTTTCTGTCTTCAGGTAGCTTTTGTCACATGAGACTTTTAATTTATTCCCAAAATCTGAATCCTAATGAAAAACACTAAATCTTCAAATAGTTGTCTAAAATGAGGCACTGAAATAATGACATCTAAAAAATTAATACAGCACACAGATTTTAAACAAAAGGTAATGAATAATACAGAACTTTAGACTGACAAACATAATTTGTGTAGGTAGCCCAAAACAAGGGTAGCTAGGTGATGAAGTGGAGAGAGCACTGGGATGGGAATCAGGAAGACTAATCTGCCTGAGCTCAAATCTGGCCTCAGACACTAGCTGGGTGACCATGAGCAAATCACTTAATCCCTTTTGCCTCATCTGAAAATGTTTCCTCATCTGAAAAATGAGCTGGAAAAGGAAATGGCAAACCACTCTAGTATCTTTGTCCAGAAAATCCCAAATGGGGTCATGAAGAGTCAAACATGACTGAAATATGACTGAACAAAAGTCCAAAACAAATTGAACAAACTATTGTTACAAATGTAGATACAATTTAAGCTCACATACCAACGCTATTCTATCTTCTAAGAACTTCTCTGGCAAATAAAGCCTTTTGACAGTTACAATCTTTAACTGGATGTAAAAAAGTGAAAACATACCTCCCTAAATGCTAGTAACAAAATGCTGTCCCAGAAAATTTTCCAGTAATTCATTCTTTCAACTCTGGGACCACTGCCCCAATATCACTGCTATTACTAGCTCCCTCTTATCCCAAGATCTAACTCCCACATTCTGTTTTAAGGTATGACAAAGTAAAGAAGCCTAGAGTTTGTCACTATTAGTATGAGTCAGAGGAGGCCTATTTGATTCAGTAATCTTATCTATCTCACAACAAACGCATACAATGTATTGGCTTAATATCCGTTAAAAAGGATTCACTACTTTTAAAAATGATCAGCTGAAATAGTTAATTGTTTTTCATTCGTGCAAAATTCTTGGAGAATAAGCTTTGTTCCATTTAATCAACTTTCCAAATAACTGAAACATAACACTAGAAGGACTAGATTTTAAGCAAACTTCTAGCAACCAAGCTGCATCAATTGACACTGCAGTCTTTTAAACAAGAAAATAATGCTAGGGTGAAATTTTTCTTTTGAAGTAAAACTAAAATAAAATTTTTGCTCCAATTGATGTGCCCGATCCTTGTAGTGTTTAAGGTTAGTTTGTTTGGATGACTGATGGAAGCCTCATTAAAATGAATAACACATCTCTCTGCCTTTCTTTTTAAAGATGTTTTTCTTCCCCAGACATGTGACTCCACAGATATAGGGAATTCTGGGCGAGGCAATTCCCTCAATCAATGCTTATCAACAATTTTTCTTCAACTTAATTATCACAGAGAGTTGCCTGGGGGCATTGAGATGTTAAGAAAGACCTCCCCAGGAACCAGTGAGGGGTAAGACATGGATCAATCAATAACTTATTCATCCAGGTCTTCCTGAGTCTATCTCTTTCATATATTCATATAACACTGCTGTTATTTCCCCTTCCCTTTTTAAGAAAGAGGATTAACATAATTTAACCTATTTTTGATAACTCAGGATCATCACTGAGAAAATGATACAGGAGAAAAAAGCGTAAGACTTGGAATTAGGAGAGACTTGGGTTACAAAGGCATTATGATACAAATCGAGTCAGAGGACTTGTGTTCAAATCCCATCTTTGATATGGACCTTAGTCTCAGTTCCCTCTTCTATAAAATGAAAAGAGATTGGACTAGAAAACCTCCAAATTTCCTACTGGTTTTATATCTGTTATCCTACAATCTTTGATCCTGCCTCTCACCCTTACTACGTGTGACCAAAAGCAAATCTTTCATAAACTACAGACATCTACATCTATTCATACTCAGTGCCCTGACTTTACCTCCCACTCTGTCAATGCCTTCTAATCTGGATTCTGAACTCAGCACTTGAAACTGTTCTCTCCAAGATTATCAAAGATCTAATTGAAAAAACCTGAAAAACTTCTTAGTCCTCATCTTTTTCAACCTCTTCATAGCTTCTGACAACTCTTGATCATGCTGAGCTACTATACACTCTCTCCCCTTGGGGTCTGTGATATTCCTCTCCTGCTTCTCCTACTCTCTGACTGTACCTGTTCAGTCTTTACTGTATCATCACACCATCCATCTCCCATTCCTTAACAGTGCATGTCTCTCAAATCTCTGTCCCGAGTGCTATAGACGGTCAACTGCCAGCTACATACCCCCACCTGAATGTACCAAAAATATCTCAAACTCAACACATCCGTTAAGAGTCAAAACCTAACCCTACTCCGTAACTTCCTTTATTTTGATGAGGCCTCCATCATCCTTGCAGTCTAAGTTAGCAATCTTAGAATCATATTAAATTCTTCTCTCCCAAATCCTTAACAGTTACTACATTTTCAGTTGTCTCTGCAACATCTCAGATCCACCTCCCATTCTCCATTTCTCATACAGAACCTTATCGACCATCATAACAGCTTACTAAGCTTCCACAAGGCCCCATTATCTCTGAGATAAAATACTAACTTCCCATTGCGGCACTCAAAATCCTTTTCTCTGGCTCTGGTCTACCTTTCCAAATTTATTTCATACTATGCCCTTCTTCCTTAACATACTCTATGCTCTAGCCAAATTGCTGTTTGTCCAAATTTGGCATTCCCTCTTCTGCCACTACACAGGCTCTCCTCCCTTCCTGAAATGCACTCCTCCCACACCTCAAGTCTTAGAATTTTAGCTTCATTTAAGGCTTATCTCAGGTATCCTCTTCTATGGCAAGACTTTACTAATTTTTCAATTGTTAGTGAGCTTTCCTTTCTGAAATTATACTTTATTTACTTACCTGTATAAATGTATCCTTCCACAAAAAGGGAAACTCCTTTAGGACAGGGGCTATTTTTTCATTTTGTCTTTGTATCCCTAGCATCATGCCTTGCACAAAGTAGGCACTTAATAAATGTTCAGTGAATGAACAGCTTCAATTTCATTAGTTATAAAATGAAAATAATACCTATATTACCCACCTCACACAGTTGTAATAATGAAATAACATACAAAAATCGCTAATTATCAGCTACTAGTAATTTCATCACTATTAATGACAACACATTTATAAAGCGTGTTCTATACATCAGGCATTCTGCTGACCAAGGGTACAAATACAAACAAGCAGGAGAGTTTCTGCCCAAGATTACATTCTAATAGAGGAGGACAACACAGAGCTAGGGAGGAGAGGGAACATTTGTGTGTGGTGGTTTGGTCTGGAATGGCTAGGTATCTCATGCAAGTCTGGGGTCCTAGCAGGGCAAGATAGTCACCTACCAAAGCCATGTAGCTCGGGGTAGATTCCAACTTTCAAATGGAACAGGATTATAAATAATGATTTTTTTTTGTACTGTAACATACTTGGAGCCAGACTTCTATACCTTTATACATTTGTTCCCATCTTCCCTCACTATCAGAGTGTCTCTCAGCTATTAATTCTTATTTTGTGTGCCCATCTCCATCATCCCTACCCTCCAAAACCATTCTGAATTTCTAGTTTCTCATCTGTTTTAAGATGGAAAATCAGATAACAAGGCTTGCTAAAATCATATGTAAAATGTGAAAAATTAGTCTCTGTAGGAGGACCTGAGGGACTACCCTTTGAACAAAATATATACACTTCAGCACATGGATTTGGCAACATCTATGTGGGTTGAAGGCTTTTTATTCCTTTCTTTCTGGTTCTGAGCTGTGTTCTGGGTTCTTGGCTAAGTGGCCCCCAGAAAAGTGAGGTCACTCTACACAAAGTTATACACCCCCCCAGATACATTAACATTTTTTAAAATTTTACTTTCAAAGAATATGCATTTTTGGAGTTCTGTGATATGTAGTAATTGCCTACCATATATATTTCTTACTTGGTTTTTGCACAGTCAGAATAATGGAGAATAATAATGATAAGCAGTATAAAGACTCATTAGTTGGAGTGAATGTGTTAGGCTGTATAACTTCATGAAAGCCAACGAATACCCCCTGTTTTAGCCATAAAGTATAACACACACTAACCTTTAACTTGATGGATTATTGTGATGATTTCCTGAGTAAATTCTCCTGACGGTTTGTTTTCGACATCCTGTGTTATGGAGTCAAGATGTTCAAATACTGGATGGAAGTTTTCCTTTTTCCTGCCAACAGCAACCAAATCATGTGATATCTGTTTCTCTGTGGAAAGGCTAGAAGCAGCCCTAGAATAATTTGCATACATATTTAAGTAAATTTGAAACCAGTTTTCTGATCAAAGATTTTGTTTAAAAAACTAAGCAAAACATTTGTTATAACAAAAAGATCTTCCCTCATAATAAAGATTGGTCACTACATGGTAAGATAAAGAATAGGGAAAACTGAACTATAGAAAATTTTACTTGGGTTCTTTCTTTAAGGAGACATTACCAATACTTTCTATGTATAAGCAAATATCTCATTAAATAAGTTTTATTTCCAAATGAAAAATCACAGCAAGTTAAGATACTCAACTACAAATTTTATAGTTTTGAGTTTCCTCAAATTCTGGTTCAATTTCAGCTACTCTGTATTATATCTTGAAAATAATTAACCTGTTTAATTCAATAGGCTTTTTATAATGCATCTACTATGTGCTAGATATTGGGGATACAAAGACAAAAAATAAATAGCTCTAGTCCAAGCATCTAGCAGGTACTGAAGAGTAAAAAATATGTACTCTGATTAAGTAAATACAAAACATATACAAGTAAGTACTAAATAACCAGTGGGGAAAGACAGAACACTAACAACTGGGGAAGGTGTCAGGCAAGGCCTCATGCAGGACCTGACACTTGAATTGAGCTCTGGCCTCCAAGAATCAGAAATGAGGAAGGTGAGCACTCAAGGGACAGAGGATGGCATTCTAGGCAAAAAGGCAAATATGGCTAGTTATCAAGAGACATCAGAGAATAACGTGAACTCAGTCTGAAACACTAAGATTATTGTACTGGAAAGCCAGTTTATGAAGGACTTTCAATACCAAAGAAAACAATTTGTATTTTATCCCAGAAGCAATAGGAAACCCCTGAAGCTTCTTCCTAAGAAGAATGACCAGTCATGCCTGGACTTTAATACTTTCAATCTGGCAGGTCCGTGGAGGATAGACTAGAGTGGGCAAAGATTAATGGCAGGGAGACCAATTAAAAGATTATTGCAGTAATCCAGGAAAAAGCAGACTTAAGGGTCTACTAGCACAGAGTACAAATAAAGAGAAAGAAAATGTAACAAAATGGTTTGAGGTACTTGTCAAGTGACAGGATATAGAAAATGATGGCAAGTGAAAACACCTGTACTCTCAAAAAAAATTGTAAAGAGGGCTGGAATAAGGGAGGAAAGAAAAGAATCTTGTTTTGGACGTACTGAGCTTAAGAAATCTATGGCTTCAGGAGACATACAACTATACATATTTTATTTTTAAAGTAACATTTCTAATGTTATTTCTCTGACAACATTTTGTTAAAAAATTTACACAATCCTCTTCAGCCACTGGAGGGAATCTATTATAGCCATTTAGGTTAAATTCCATGAAAATTTAATTTGATTACTTCTGAAAATTATCAAGACTATTGTATTGTTTTTGGAAGCTCCAAGATTATCATAAAATATCTACTGATCACAACTCCCTCATTAATATAACCCAAGAAATAAAAAGTTTTTCCTCTACCTAAAAACTAGTTAATTTAAAAAATAGTTACAAAAGATCAACTTCAATCGTAATCAAGATGGAAAATTTACTCTTCCTGATAGCTGATGACAACCGTAATGGTAATGGAGGTGAGGTTACAATCACTTCATAGACTTAGGTTTCAAACTGTAATAATTTACTCACTGGTATCCACAAAAATGAAAAACGTTGACTCAGTCTGGGCCCAGGTAGGCTTCCTTATCCAGTATTATCAATGAATCTCAGAACCCATCAATAACTTAATAAGACTCCTCCATAACAACCCCCTCCCCTAACCCAATAAATAGTCATCCTGCCTTCTCTTAAAGACCTCTACTAACCACAGCAGTCATGGCATTAATTCAACAAACATTAATATTAAATATCTATTAGTTGATTTGCTAAGGTCCCTTAAACCTATGATCCCACGATTCAAAATCCAAGCTTTTCCCACCATGCCATTAAGCATCCAATTGTCTCTCAGCAATCATCACTAAACACAGTGATTTTACTGAATTTAAAACCTGTTCTCTATATCAGAGTTTAAAAAAAAATCACAGCCAATCTTAACTTTTAGAAACATTTCAGTACAAAATAAGGTTTTAAACAGCAATTTAGTGGTTTCTTAGAAAAGCTAAGCTCCCTGTTAAGAAGCCAAAAATTGCCTCAATCTCTATCCACATAAAACCTAAGAATAACTATTCTGTGAAAAATTGAAAGGTTATCCTAGTAATTTGTTAAAAACAACCAAACCTTTTACTACTCAAAAAAAAAACAGGAAGAGCACTGTGATCCAAAACTGCATTCAATAATTTATTAAAAATTCATTTTTAAGATATGAAATTCAAATAAATTTATTCTAGAATCCTGTGACTATCAGATTTTGAATGACAAAAACAAATTTAATCCTCTTGCTGGGCTATGATTTTTTTTTATAAGATATATTAAAAATACACATTAAGGCTGCCATGGTAAAAGCAACCTGGAACCCTTCCAAGAATAAACCTGTTATCCTTCAGCACAACTTACTCCTTTTAAATCTAATGTTCATAAAAAACTCATAAAGGAAATAACTTGGTAAAAAAGCAAACATAGCAATAATTAAATCTGATCTGCACGTAACTTTCTTCTGCTTTTATCTTTTGTAATAAATAATACCATATTGAGGAGAAGCAGCAGGCAGGGCAACCCAGGCCAGAGGCCTGAGGCGCACTCTTTGCCAATCAGGGAGATGCTATGGCATTTCTCTCGATTTAGCCAGACCCAAAGAGGAACAGGCAGAGTGACCCATGCCCACAACCCTTCTTGCCAGCTAACAACAACTCCTAGGAGACTGTAAACATTCTTGTTCATCTCCCATTCTCCACTTCTATGGCTAATGAACTTCCACTCTCTGTTCTTCTTACTCTACTACTTTGGGCTACGTAGAAGGGAAATTATCCCCAATCCCTCCTCCCTCCCACTATCTCAACCCATACATCTCAACTTACTCTACACAATACCCAATAGGTATCCAACCCATTCCAGAGTGAATAAACAACCCCATCCTCCCAGATTTTTCTCTCCCACTTCTTTTATCCTCCTGGCTTCCTCTACTGTCATGTAACCACCAGTGATCCATTCTACTAAGGTACCATCTTCTACGTAAAGTCTTTCCTGATTACCTGAAGTAACGCTCTCTTCTGTGCCTTCTATTTATTTCTGTTTATTCTCTTACATCTGGGGTGTGTGTACATGTACGTACATGTACATACATACACACATACACATACACATACACACACACACACACACACACACACACACACACCTCATTTCCCTATTTGAATATAAGCTCTTTGAGAGCAGGGACTGTTTCATTTTTCGGATTCTTTCCAACTTGCACAGGGCCTGAAACACAGTAGGTGATCATTAAATCTGGTGATAATTGACTCATCTCAACAAACTGCCCAAAGCTGCCTTCTATAAAACAAGAAACAGGATAAGCTATAAATGGTATTACTTTTAAGTACATACCTGTAGATTTTCCCTTTCCAAGATCATATTTTAGAGATGCAGCATGTATGAGGGTGTCTTATTCTTACTAAATGAAGTACATATTATGCTTTGCATCCTGCCTACTCTAAATTAGAAGACGTTAATACTTAGTAGATTTAAAGCAAATCTAAAATTAACATTCACACAAAACAACACAAAACTGCTAATTTTAGGGTGTATAATTAGTATTCAAGCAAGACAAACAAATATCTCAAAGACTAAAATACAGTCAAAAGCATTGGTTCTAATATAAGCCCCCTGCCAGTGACCACCTCTACTCTTCCTCCCTGACCCCCCATTAGCTGAAATTAGCTTTTTTCACTAATATACCTTCTGGGATATTATAATTTGAATAATAAGCAAACAAAATATAAATACCATACTTAATTTCATCTGATATTTACTTAGTACCAAAAATAATTAGGCCAGGCACATTTTAATAAAGGATAAGGATAGTAAAAAATTTTTATTATTTTCCTTTTTATACAAACAAAATTTCTTTAAGGAAATAGGGAGAAAGGAGCTAATGTCAAGGGTATTAAAATCAATTCAAATGCTTTTAGTAGCTGACCATTTTTCTATCTCTTTTAATCGTTAAGAGAATGCCTGCTTATATATTGACATGTAATCACACAAAAAGTGACTTCATGCAAATTAGGAGAAGATTTCAACAATAGGTAAATGGAAAAGGGAAGAGTTGACAGAAGATCCAGAAATATCCAGAAAGAATGACATCTCCCTTAAAGATTCGTCTTGAAAAGGATTCTTTAAAATAAACTCAACCACACTGTATTTTTAAAAGATAAATTTATAAACAGAACAAAGCTGCCAACAAGCAGCCATGCATAAAAAATTATTTTTCTGCTCTCCTTTTCTCACCCTGCCCTGTTGTATTTGTTCCCATTCATTTAAAGGTGAACGGGACTACTATTTACCCTTTCGATGTTTTCAAAGCTAATCTTAAAACGTTTTAAAGCAGTGTTCTGTATTTTGGTCTAACTTTGCCGAGGCCCTTTCCTCACAGAATGAAGGCTCCTCCCTTCCCTAATTCAAGCATGTTAATAAATACTCTCAGAGTTGATTTTCCCCTATTGCAAAAATCTTTCATCAGTCACTTGATGGGTGATTTAGTCCACATGTTATCCCAATTAACATTACTATTTTACACCTTTTATATCTAATTGATCAAGAAAGATCAAATGAATCAAAGACCAAATCCATTTCTAGCATTTGTCAGCATTCTTTGAGCAATTAGGCCCTAATATTTAATTAAATTAAAATCCCTTTTGACTTAAGGCTGAGCCTGAAAGTAAATCTAATTTAGTTCTTTCGGGCTAAGTAAGAGTAAGTATGAAGTCCAAAGGAATAACTTAACAATCTTTTTTCTCCCACTGTAGTCATTTGCTAGCCCTGGAGAGAATCTTTTTGGTTTAAATGTTTGCTGTTGCTGTTATTTGAGGAGGGGTTGGTAAGGTGGGGGGAGGGGCGTGATAATAAAAAAGCTTATCTAGCCCCACTTAAGCCCTTAAAAAGCCTATTCCTTGGCACTCTCTGGGTAAAAAGAATAGTGTCCATCATGCCAGCTTTTTTCAAGATATATAAAATTTCAGGCCCACTCCAGAACTAATTTCTTTACATCTCCCCTTCTCTGATTGAGCAAAATGTCACCCACCTCTCTAATACCCACAAACTGAACCCAATTCTTCCTCTCTCCTCAACCCACTAACTCAGATAAAAATTATTTTCATGGATACTTGACATACTTGTAAGATGTATTTGCAATGTTTTTTTTTCTTGAATATCCAGGAAGGAATCTTATGACGCCTTTAACATCTTTACCTTTACCTGTAATTAAGAAGGTTCTAACAAAGGACACAAAGAGTTGTGGCATCAGCAAAACTTACATTGTTTTTAGAAACTGATATGTACTTGTCACTGATGAGTACCACCATTTTTACAGGACTTTTTGAAAAATTAAGATCTGCTCTTCCACTTTGATATGCTTCTAGATTTTTATAAGCCAAAAGTAAAGATCAAGCAAAAATTTTTAGTAGACCTCAAAGAAAAGCAGAGAAAAGATAAATACCTGTACTTATCTATTGTCTTCTTCATATCCACTTTAACTGTAAGCAATTTCTTCTTCAGACTGACATTTGAAGATTTCCTATCTGGAGGTCTGTGACTTGTATCATGATGGCTACTGGAAAAATCTTGCTCTTTTTTCAAATCAATTTCTTTCTTTACTCTTTCCTTCAGTTTGTTGTTGAAGAGTCTCATATCAATATCATTTTTATAAGGATTAGCACAGGCACTACAGGCCTTCTTAGGATATTTTAAAATATCAATGTTCCCTTCCTCAGTCTCTCTCACTCTTCCACTACTACTAAAACAATCTAACTCTCTATTTAGAGAACCCTTTGGAGAACTGTATTTTCTTTCTTCTTCCTTGGAATACTTGTGTGTTCTTCCATTAGAAAAAGACTGTTCTTCATCTGAATGCTTATAATGTTTGTGTCGATAGCCATAGGACATCTTTGCTAACGAACTATCCTCTAGGTACTCCCTTTCTGCAGATCGATAGATCTGAGGTTCAACACTCCTTTGTCCTTTCTTCTCTTGGTAAGATGGGAAAGAGTGTTCTGGCTTCCATTTAGGATTCCTGGATGGCTCTCTGTTTTCATATCTTTCCATGTCTTTAGTTCTTTTTGACGTATGTCCATATTCTCTGAAATCACCATCCTCAGGATACCTGTGTTGACATAAAGCAGTTTACACTTGCACTAGGGAGAAGAAAGTGAGAATTTATATGTGTAGAATGTTGTACAGAATGGCCTTAAAAGCAGAATGCAGAAGTTAACCTATAATCCACAAGCCTGTGTGTGCAGAGAGGCACAAAGTAAAAAGAAAAATAATAATCCTTTTAAAAAATATTCTAGCCATCAACATGATTTACCTTAAAGATAAATACTTCAAAACTCCCAAAAGCCCATAACAAAATTACAATTTTTAAAAATGTTTTAGACAAAAGCCTTTCAAGGTAGTTCTCTTCAACTATAATGTAAAAAGCTATTTTTCGCTGGAAGCTTTACACTACATTACCCAGGTTTAATGTTTTCCTGTACCTCTTCTGAAAAGAGCTCCTTGTCACAAGTTCTTCAAGACCTCTACGAGGTGACTGAGCATATTTGTCTTCCTGTATCCTCTGGTACCTCAGGTCATCTTCATGCCACTTTCCTTCAAATTTAAAAGAGTCTGCCGATCTATGAAAAGGCTTCACTTCTTTTCCAATTCCAGTAAATCTGGCATCATCAGGCACATACCTTCCTTGTATTTTTTGTGAAGAATAATACCATTCATGTTCTTTGTAGGGTGGTGCATCTGAGTATTTGGGAAAATAATGAAATTTTCGACTACTATCACTCCTTTCTGGTGAATATCCCCGGTGAGGTTTATAACTGTAACTATCTTCTAAAGAATTCCTCCTTCCATTTGGGGAAGGTGACCTGTGATCATAAATTCTGTGATGTATATTTCCATGAGAGGAGATCCTTGGGTCACTTTGTTCATATTTCTCACTGTCCATTCTCCAAGGCATGGTCCTTCTGGGATCCTTCCTAAACCCTTTGTATTCATAGTCATAATTGCCATGGAGATACCTCTGTCTATAGTGTTCAGGATTCCTAAACTCTGGTGATAAAGACCTGTATTTAAAAACAAAAACAGAAAAGGTGATTCTATTTTAAGAGAATTAGAACAAAGCCTCACATGTTTTTGACTCTTTCATAAGCATCTGAAATCAACTCTGTGAATTTAAGCTACTGTAGACAAAGCTGATGATTTTCAAAATTAGAATTTATAATTACTTGATTATATACTCCCAACCTTCCCTTAAATAATCTTATGCCTCCTCAAATTCCATAAAAATATACATATACATACAAGTACTTTTTGCCAGTGGTGATATATGCCCAATTTTTAAATAAGTGAACACTGAGCACTCATACACATACACACAAAATGTATTTTTGTATTTATTCAGGTTATATCCTACATAAGTCCACTCCTCTAAGTAGACCAATGCAGTCAAAAAGACAGGTGAGGTATTTTTGTGGGCTGATTTTTTTTATATTTACTTTTTTTTTCATTCTTTTGTTTCTGTTTGACTGATTCTTGATGTCTCATAGAGTCATCAGCTTCCACTTGCCCAATTTTAATTTTTAATGAATTGTTTTCTTGTATTAGATTTTGTACCTCCTTTTCCATTTGGCCCATTTTACTTTTTAAGGAGTTTTTCTCTTCAGTGAGTTTTTGTACCTCCTTTTCCATTTGGCCAATTCTACTTAAGGAGTTGTTTTCTTCTGTGTACTTTTTTTCCATTTGGCCAACTGTACTTTTTAAGGACTTGTTTTCTATAGTTAATTTTTGTCCTTCCTTTTCCAAGCTATTGACTCTCTTGCACACCTCTCATTTCTTTTCCTAATTTTTCTTCTACCTCTCTTACCTGACTTTTAAAATCCTTCTTGTGCTCTTCCAAGAAGGTTTTTTGGGCTTGAGACCAGTTCATACTCCCCTTTAAGGTTTCAGATGTGAGTATATGGACAATGTTGTCCTCTTCTGAATTTGTGCCTTGATCTTCTATGTCCCCATAATAAGAATCTATGGTCATTGTCCGTTTCTGCTTTTTGCTCAGGGTGTTTGCCTACTTTCTGACTTTTAAAAAAAAGTCGAACTCTCCTGCTGGAGCGCAGGAGGTACTGACCCAAGCTTGTTGTACTGGGAACCCAAGAACTGGTCACTGGCTTTGTGTGCTGGGTCCTCAGGTGCTGGCAGTTGGAAGCTTTAGGGTTCTGGCAGCTTAACTGTTGCTGGGCTGCTGTCAACAACACTGGAGCTCTTAGGGTAGGGGTGGGGAGTCTGGCCCCTGGGGGATGCCTGCACACCCAGGCCTCACACTTGTATGTTTGGCTGCTGGAGGATATCTGTCAGCCCGGAACTCTGCCTCCTGGAGTTGTGCTGAGGTACTAGGACATCTGACTGCTGGAGAACACCATCGTACGTGGTGGTTTTCTGAGCTCATGTCTACCAGTTCTCCTGCCTGTCCTCAGGTACCTGGGGGTTGTGGTGTTGGCACTTGCCTACTCCACCACCCTGAGACTCAGGATCTCCCCATGGTATGCTGAGGACTTGCTGGGATGCCTCCCATTCTGTACTGCTCCCTCTCCCCTAGAGTGAAAATGGCCTTTCCCGTTAATCCCCCAAGCTTTCTGATTTACCAGACTGCTACACCCCATCTTTCAGCCGTTCCAGGGTTTTTCCTGGGGCAATATTTTCTGGGCTTTCAGAAGTCAATAAGGGAGGATGAGAGCAACTTATTTCTTACTCCATCATCTTGGCTCCTGAAAGTGGAAGACTGTGTGCTGATTTTTAAGAAGCCTCTATATTAAGGCAAAGCCTTCCCATAAATTATCTCTCTAACTTATTTCCTTTTTCTGAAGTTTTCTTGACACTATGCCTCAACTCTATTTTGATAAATTTATATTCTATTTTTAAATGCCACTTTAAGTGAACATCTTCTGTTTTCAACTGTGAGTCTTTATTCCAACCTGCTGATTACTGAATACGCTATTTGAGAATGTTAGGACCAAGTGGGAAGTGAAATTGACTTTAAAATACTCAAGACAGCAAGATTATAGCCAACAATGTGAGCATATTCACAGAATTAACTTCAAAAAAGTATCCATAAATTTCTATAGTCAGGGTAAGAAAAGTGTTGAATAAGGGATAGTATAACTATACCAAATAACTGTGAAGAAGGTATTCTTACACTGAACAGAAGATTAAACAGGATCACTTCTCAGAATACTTTCTATTTTGAAAGCTGTACATTCTTCCAAGGATGGATCCATTTATACATTTTTTGGACACAGCCAATGCAGAAATTTGTTTTTCTTGACTTTGTATATTTGTATATTTGGCTTTTTCATCTCTCCTCCATTCCCTCCCACATGGGGGAAAGAAATTTTTTTCTTTGGTTACATGAAAAAAATTTAATTTTAAAAAATTATTGATGTTTAGTGAGCACTACAAATTTTCCCAGAGAAGGTAGCAGGGCACAATGGAAAGAATATTGGGTTCATGCTCTAGCTTTCACACCAATTAGCTGTGACTACTGCAAAGTCACTTAATTGCCCTGAGTCTGAATTCTAAAGTACGTAGTGAAGGTGTTGGACAAAGTGATGCTTGAAGTGGGCAGCTAGGTGGCACAGTGGATAGAGCTCTGGACTTGGAATCAGGAGGACCTGAGTTCAAATCCAACCTCAGACACTTGACACTAGCTGTGTTACCCTGGGCAAGTCACTTAACCCCACTGCCTCACCAAACAGCAAAAAAAAAAAAGGGGGGGGGAAGTCATGCTTAAAGATTTCTCTAGCTCTAACAACATTACTATGCATCCCTTCTCTTATTGATGCTACCTTCCACAGTGAAAAACTGGTCCTGAACTACAAAACAGTAACTGTTTTAACTGATCTCAGCAGTTCATACCCCATGTTATACAAAGAAAAGTGGCTAAAGTGGTTATTAATTTAATCAAAACTCTTAGCTTCTGAACTTTTGATCCTCCCACATTGACTTAAGTATAAAAAAAGCTCCTATTAAAATGAAATATTCTGCAGAGTAAAGTTAATTTCTACTTCCCAGCAGATACCTCATAGTAATGGTGCTCTCTTGACCTAGTTATGAAATTTCTACCTATAATGCAATAGTACAAAAATCCATTAATTTCAATGTTTTTAGTGGTCTTCCTAAAGCACAGGTCATTCCTTGCCCCTTCAATAAACTCCATCCCTATTACCTCCAAAATCAAATATAAAATCATGTTTTGCTTTTTAAGCTCTTCAGAAGAAGGCCCCTTTCTGTCTTTCCCGTCTTATCATCTCCTTCCACATACTCTATGATCCAGCAACACTGGTCTTCCTGCTGCTATTTTCACAAAATATTCACTGACTACCTCCCAAGTACAGAATGCTCTTCCCTCCTCATTTGTCTCCTGCTTTCCTCAAGTCTCAGCTAAAATCTTACCTGTTACAAGAGACCATTCTCAGGACCCCTCAATACTATTGCCTTCCTTTTCTGATTACCTCCAATTAATATTCTGTTATCTACCTTGTATCTACATAGTTATTTGCATGTTATTTCCCTCATTAAAAGAGCTAGTCCCCCAGAGAAAGAAACAAGTGCTGAAAAGAGTGACTTGTCCAAGTTCACACGGATAGTTAGGGTAGTAAAGCCAGAATTTTAACCCAGGCCTCTGCTTCCAAATGCAGTGCCCTCCCACTCTTTCCCATTTCAAACGTTCCAGTCTGTTGTTTGGGGGTTTTTTTGAGAAAGAAAGAATCAAACAACTCATCAAAATAGGCCAATACATATCATACATTTTTCTCACTTTCCTCGATGGTGTTTATAGCACTTTTCACTTCTTAATTCAATACTAAAAGGCTATCACACCCAAATTTCATGTCTCACAGGTCAGAAATGATATCTAAACATGTAACTCCTTAATATTAGCAAATTTCATTACGATAGTCTGTATATTCATTCAAACAGGATTTTACCATTACCAGCCTACTTAAGTTATAATACATCACAACCATAACTAAACAAACACTAAATTTCATAAAGAAGGAAACATTTACCTCTGTTTCCACCTAGGTGATCTGGACCGTGATCTTGCCATCTTTTGACATGTGTACCATGATCCACTTTTTAAACTGCAAAAAAAATTATCAGTAAGATCCACAGACAATAATGAATATTTGGTAAAAATAAGATGGCTGCCAACAACTAGTTAGAAATACAGCCAGAAAGCACCTCAGATCATCTGGTCTAAGGTCTTCTTTGTACACATAAGGAAATAAAGTCCCCAGATAACTGACTTCCCCAAGGACACAGAAGTGTTAAGTCTCCAGAAACACAAAATTTCAAAGTCAGAAGAGACTTTCAAGTCCAAAAGTTCTTAATCTGAGATTGTGTGTGTGTTTAACTCTATTTTAGCATAACTTGTTTCCTTTGTCATCCTACATAATTCATTATTTTGTTTTATGCATTTAAAAAACATTATTGAAAAGGAGTCTGTAGGCAACACATGACTACAAAAGGTCCATGATACAAACAAGGTCAAGAATCCCTGATCTAGTCCAATTTACGCATGAAAAGCAATGGCAATTTTTTCTCCTTATCTTTACTTTCTTGGGGAATGGGGATCCCTGTAGAAAACGAATAACATTAATCAATAATATAGAACTAAAATATGATGCTCTATGATGAGCTCTAAAACTAGTAAATTAGGATTCCAGCTTCTGTACATAAAACCTTCCTTTCCTATTCCTAGGTTGATCAATTTCAAAATACAAAAACCAAAGCAAACAAACAAAAAAAAAACTAACCCAGATTTTTTTACCAATGTGCTTCAAATTAGTAGTACAACATTTTTATCTTTGCCACTTATTAAAAAAAATGTACATTTTACTAAAAACCAAAACATTGTTCAAGGTAAAGTTGATTTTTTTCCTACCAAAAAAACTGCATTTCCAATTTAATAAGCTAGAGTATCTTCAGAATTCATTCTTCTACTTCCTGTGAAGAGTTCAAAAGCTAGACTAAAGAAAAGAGATAGTAGATAACTATAGTACTTACAGAAAATGAGAGGTGACAAAGGACTACCCCCCCTCCAAAAAAAAGAATCCCTGCCACAATACCAGATCTCAAACTAAACTACAAAGTAAAAATCATGAAAAAGATTTGGTACTAGTTATAAAAGAGAGATCAAGATCAACCTAGAAGGGAGTACTATAGTTGAACTCCCACAACTGCTCCAGAAAGTCCCAATCAGGACTGCCCACCATGGCTTGATACTCTCACCCAAAGCAACTGATTTTGCCAACCTAAAACTGAGGTCCAGGGCAAACAGCAGCCCTACATTGCAGACACTGTCGACTACTGGGAGAATTCACGTATTTTGCTTCCCATCCTTTTCTGGTGTGTCATTAACGGTATTTTTAGTGTTGCACCTTTAACCCCATTTTCCCCATAAGTCACGGAGTTTTTATAGAGTGATTCTGCACAGTGAGGTGATTTTTAGAATAGCATATGTCACATTATAGTAGAACTGACTATACTAAAGCAAGCAGCAGCTGCGTGACCTGGACACTGTGAAAAGAGCCAGGTCACAGAACCAACCCCCATCAGAAACCTACAGTAGAAAAACAAGGGCTGAACCCAAACCAAAGGTGAATCTGTACTTCTGTCACTCTCAATATACAGAGCTTTCCACCTGGCTAATAGTGGCTAGGTTGAACAGTTATCTATGGAGCTCCAACCAGACAAGCCCACAGTTGCGTTGCTAAGACACAAATGCAAGACTTGCAGGAACTTAGCTGATTTCTGGAATAGACTGTTCTTGAAGCTCTGAAATCTTGAAGATTCCTCAGCCTGACCTGTGGAAAGCTATAGCAGAACCCAACAAGTTATACAACAGGAACAAGCATTGCTCAGACATTGCCTGCCTAAGTGTGTGACTGGCACAAAATCCAAAGTCAGGAGGGTTGGAAGAATAAACAAAAAATAATACCAACATAAAGAGCTAGTATGGTGACACAGATGTTCAAAAAACAAACTTAGAAAAAAATGCCTCCAAAACATCTACAAGCAAAGCCTCAAAGAAAAACTAATTTAGGCACAAGCTCAAAAGAATTCCTAGGAGAGTAAGAGTATAAAAAAACAAGCTAAAATGATTTTATAAATGAAAAAGCTAGAGAAAACCGAAAAATAAATTGAGAGCTATACAAGAAAGAAGTGGCAAGAGAATTAAAAAACTGGCATAAGAGATACAATGCCTTACTCAAGGCATGTTGTGAGGGTTTTGCTCTTTTCCAATGAAGAGGAGGGAGGAAGAGGGAGATTTGAAACACTTGAAAAAGATAAAATTAACTTTAAATAAAAAGTCAATCAGAGAATGGACCAGATATACAATATACAGAAGCAACTGAACAAAAAGTGGCTTAATGTTTAACATACCCCAAGAATCCACCTAATGGGTTAAATATGCACTATTTGACAAAACTTCTGGTAAAAATGTTAAGCAGCCGGGGCAGCTAGGTGGCACAGGGGATAGAGCTCCAGCCTTGGAGTCAGGAGGAACTGAGTTCAAATCTGGCCTCGATAAATAACACTTACTAGCTGTGTGACTCTGGGCAAGTCACTTAATCACAACTGTCTCACAATAAAAAAAAGTTAAGCAGTCTAGCAGAAATTAGGATCAGACCAATACTTTACACTACATTCCATGTGACCTAAATATTAAAGATCATATTATTAAAAAATTAGAAATGAAACAAATCATATACTTCTCATATCTGTGGTTAGATGTATTCTTAACTAAAGAAAGAATAGAGGCAATCACAAAAGAAAAAACTGGTAACTTTGATTACATGAAATTGAAAAGCTTCTGCACAGACAAAATTAATGCACCTAGGATAAGGGAAGCATTCATATGGGAAAAAATCTTAGTACTGAATCTCTCTGATAAAGAATAAAGATTTGGTATCCAACACACACACACACTCTCTCTCTCTCTCTCTCTCTCTCTCTCTCTCTCTCTCTCTCTCTCTCTCTCTCTCTCTCTCTCTCTCTCTCTCTCCATGAGCAACTGCCATTTCCCAATGGGTAAGGCTGTAGCTCAAAGGATGTAAAAAAATAGGTCTCAAAAACATTTGCAAACTATTAATCACTAATAGGAGAAATACAAAACATTCCCACAGTTTCAATCAAACCCTACAAACTGACAAAGACAACAAAAGATAGGAACAGTCAATGCTGATGGGATTGAGGAAAGACAGAAGCACATGAGTGCATTATTGATGGGGCTATAAACCAATGCAACCATTTTGGAAAGCAACTTGGAATTATTTAAATAAAGTGACTAAGATGTCAATGGCAGCTAGATGGTACAGTGGACAGGGCACTGGGCTTGGAATTAGGAAGATCAGTCTTCCTGAGTTGAAATCTAGCCTGAGACACTTAGTAGCTGTGTAACCCTGGGCAAGTCATCTAACCCTATTTGCCTCAGTTCCTCGTCTATAAAAATGAACTACTGAAGGAAATGGTAGACCACTCCAGTATCTTTGCCAAGAAAACACCAAAACAGAGTCACGAAGAGTGGGGCATAACTAAAATGACCAAACAACAAAAGATGTCATACCCTTTGAACCAGAGAGTGCATAACTGGGTTTATGACTCAAGGAAGCTTTAAGAAAGTCCCCATAATACACCAAAATATCTATAATAGCACTTTTTGGGATAGCAAAGAACTGGAAACAAAGTAGTTACCTACCGCTCGGGGAACAGCTAAACAAATTGTGGCACATGAATGTAATGGACTATTACTGCACAGTAATGCAAATGAGGAATGCAGAGGAACATGGAAAGATCTATATGAAGTGACTCAAGAGTGAAGTCAGAAGAGTGATGAAAATATACAAAACTACAAGAATGTAAATAGAACAATCCCATACCAAAAAATAAAAAAATTATAAAGATCAAGCATGACTAGAAGAGATATGAAAAGACATTCAACACATGGAGGTTCAAAGTCAACAGGTTTATACACATTGCATGTTTTAGGACTTTTTCAATGTATCTTTTCAGTTACACTTTTTTTCTCTTAAAAATATTATTTGTTATGTAACACAGCTCTGTGGGAGGGGGAAAAGGAGAAGATACTGGGGATAACCATGATGATTTAAGAAACAACACCAATAACAGCTTATTTAAAAGAAAACAATGGAGGTTTCATGACACATCCTACAATTTAGCAAAGACAACAAAAATGAGAATCTTCAATATTGGAAGGAAGGGCTGTAAGAAGACAGGCATACTAATTTAGTGTTGGTTGGAGCTGTTAAATGAGCCAACTATTCTGGACAGCCACTGAAATTATGCAAAATAAATGGTCAAAGGATGTGAATAGGCAGTTTTCAAAGGAAGAAATGTAAGCAATCTATAACAATATAAAAAATGCTTAAAATTAGTAATAATTAGAGAAACAGATGCATACTAAATCAACTCTGCCGTTCTGCTTCACACTTATCACACTGACAAAAAAGGAAAACAACTGCTTTAAGGGCTGTAAATGTCTGAGAAATCAATGTAGAAGTACACCCAGAAGTCACTAACCCTTACATATGCTTGGAAGGGAAGGGGGGAGGGGGAGGGAGGGAGGGAGGAGGGGGAGAGGGAGAGGGAGGGAGGGAGGGAGAGAGAGAGAGAGAGAGAGAGAGAGAGAGAGAGAGAGAGAGAGAGAGAGAGAGAGAGAGAGAGAGAGAGAGAGAGAGAGAGAGAGAAATACTTTTCAGCTCTAAATCTATGATCCTATGAACTGATGCAGAGGAAATAAGCAGAAATGAAAGAAAATTTTGCCCAAGAACTACAACGGTGTAAATGAAAAGATCTAAATTAAGATTAACTTTCAAGTAACTGAGAAATCATTATCTTGGAGAAGAGAGAAATTCAAACCATTCCTTCTCCCAGGGCAGAACAGCAAGGAGAACTACTAGGGTAGACTATTGTATATATAATTATATATACTCATCGTAGAGGGAGCTATTCCTAGCATTTCATCTACAATCTACAGTGGCAGGTGTAGGGATATCTTTTTTCCAGAAATAACTAAGATGGAAATATAAAAGGCATCAATGAAGTGTGCTTTTTCAAA